TGGAGCCGCCTATTGAACCTCCAATGGAGCCGCCTGCTGAACCTCCAATGGAGCCACCCACTGAACCTCCAATGGAGCCACCCACTGAACCTCCAATGGAACCACTTACCGAACCTCCAATGGAACCACCTATCGAGGCTCCGACGGAGACTTTGCCAGCAGAATCTCCTGCAGAGACTTCTTCACAAGTCCCTGTGAAAACTACGCTTCCCTCTCTGCCACCAACATCTACAATGAAGTGAGCAGCAAAACTGCCATTGTTTCGTTTATAAATGACTCTTCAGGTACGTGCTCAACCAGGAAGCTGCAGAGAAGTACTGGGCAACTGCTAAATTTGAGACTACCGCAGCTCCACTTCCACCACAGCCACTGACGGAGGTGGAAACACCGCAAGATGAACCAAAGGAAGCAACTCTAGAGAAGAAGCCTATGGAGGAGGTCAGGCCAGAGAAACCTGTCGAAGAAGTAACCTGGAAGTGAGTAATCCTCTGCTTTTTGTCATTAGTGATATAATGGTTACTTTAGATACATACACAACGAGGACGCTGCTCAAAAGTACTGGGCGACTGCCAAGTTCGAAACCACCACTGCTGTTCCGCTGCCTGCTCCAGAGCCTCTAACAAAAGCTCCAGCGTCAGCAACGAACGAGGTGGCTCAAGAGGAACCTGTGGCAGAAGTTACTCTTGAAGAGAAGCCGGCCGAAAAAACACCGGTAGCAGTGGAGACACCTTCGACGTAAGTGAAGTTACTTTTGGATGCTGGAAAGAGCTTAGATACTCTCAGCTAGTGTTCTAGCCTTCTATCGGTAACTGTGATAACTTGAAATTCGTAACAGGTATATTTTGAATGAGGAGGCGGCCGAGAAGTACTGGTCTACGGCCAAAATTGAAAGCACTACCGCTGTTCCGTCACCCGTTCTAGAACCACAAGCATCAGAGGCTGTAACAGATATGTCCGAAACGGAATCCTCACCTGTTGAAGAGAAATCAGATAAAGAATTCACTAGGTATGACACCTTTTTGGATGCATTTTTTATTCTGCCATTTGTACTCTTTTTCAGTTATGTTCTGAACGAGAAAGCAGCGGAAGCCTATTGGGC